CCAGGTCTTGGTGGCTTTTCGGAAGGCCGGGAGAGTGGTAAGGGTCCGGATCTCTACGGGTAGATCATTCCACAGGGCCGGCGCAGCTACAGAAAAGGCCCTCCCCCAGGGGGCCGCCAGCCAGCATTGTCCGGCCGATGGCACCCGGAGGAGGCTCAACCTGTGAGATCTTGTTGGTCGTTGGGAGGTATGTGGCAGGAGGTGGTCTCTCAGGTAGCCAGGTCCTAAACCATGTAGGGCTTTAAAAGTAACGACTAGCATTTTGAAGCGCGTTCGGAGACCAATAGGGAGCCAGTGCAGCTCACGGTAGGATGGGTGTAACATGGGTGTATCTAGGTACACCCAGTATCGCTCGTACGGTTGCATTCTGGACCAACTGTAGTCTTCAAACACTCTTCAGGGGCAGCCCCATGTAGAGCGTGTTACAGTAATCCAGTTTTGAGGTGACGAGGGCATGAGTGACCATTTGGATGAACAAGTAGTGGGAATGCTTATCAAATTAACAAAAACTGGATAAGATAGGAGCAAGAACAAGTTTTAAATTGAATGGGATTTCCATCTTAGTGTATAAAACACAAGAGCAGAAGATTTGCTTTTAACCAATAATATGATGAACCATAACAATACATAAAATACCTGGAAAAGAAACTATTTACATGTAAGCAAGTATTTGTGAGGTCACAATTCAAGCAGACAAGCATCTACCATATAACATCCCAAACTTAATTATTGTTTATAAGAAAAAGTCTAGATAGTGGACAGGGCAGTATCTGGAGATAAAGACAGAAGAAAATGTACTGTAGAAAATCACAGTACAAACTTGCAAATTAAAATAGAACAACTGTGGCAAAAGAAAGCAAAAATTGTACCAATAGGGATAGCCATCTTGGGTAAAATCCCAAAATAACTGGAACACTAGTTGAACTACGTTGGCATTAACAAATCAGTATCAATCAGTTATAGAAGACTGGAACAGCTAATAATCCTGTGATAGTACCTTTAATACCATCAGACCATATCTGCCTATCCCAGGTCATTGGAAAGGACTTGATAGATGGATAAAAATGCCAACTGCAGTCTAAACATCTGTCTGACATTGCAAACAGAAATATTAACTTCATGTTGTTCCCCTTTATATGTAATATATCAGGAGAGAAAGAATATCTTGTTTACAAACTTATACCTGCTATTTATACTATTGAATTATTGTGCATTTTATCAAAGGTAACTTGTGAAGAATATATGGAACTTCACCTCATTCCAAATGAAATAGGAAAATACATTGAATAGATTTGCTTAATATTCATGTTTTGGCATTTAATGTGATTTTTTTCCTGTTTTACTCAACAGAAGAAGTCCTGCTCTCTCTTTTTCTTGTATTCTTACTTGTTTTGTTCTTTAGTGGGTTGGAAAGAATTTGTCAGGAAATATGCACTCCAGATGTAAAGATGTACTTTTTTCCCCACATGAACCCTATTGCTGTAAAAAGGAATGCATCAATTAAAGAAGAATGTTGGGATTTAGATATCATCTAAATATATATATAAATATTTACATGCTATACTGAATCATTTATTTTATGTAGCATTCAGAAGATGTAGCAGCGCATTATAATAAGCTTGAAGAGGTTGGATTGGAACAACGTAGCACGAGTCGCATCTTCTATCTCCGAAACTTTAACAATTGGATAAAGAGTGTGCTAATTGGTATGTACATTAAAAACACAGTTCAAAATATCTATAATTCACACATCCACTTTTTGAAATAACTGGCTATGAGGAACAAATTTCAAACTTAATTTCTAAATTCCAAATATGAGATTATATATTGGAAAATTAATATTTTGATTGTACAAAAATATTATTGCATTCTTCACTGTTGGTCTATAATGCAAGCATTGTACGTAGCTGTAAGAGCATTTTTCTGTTTTAGTCTAAAAATGTGTGATTATAGTCATGTATATTATGAAATAACAATGATACTTTTTGTCAAAAGAACATCTCAGTCCAGAAACTAACTTCTGAGATGAAAACTCAAGGTCTGTGCAGTCCATGATGATTTTCTTTTTATCTCATACCTCTCAAAGATAGGAACAATAGGCTAGAGCTCTAAAGCTCTCAAAATAACCAGGAAGCTACATTCTAATAAAGAGAGAACATTTTATTTTCTCACGATTATAATTTTTTCTCTTAGGTGAATTCCTTGATAAGGTACGGCAAAGAAAACAAAACATTACAGTATTAGACTTGGGATGTGGTAAAGGTGGGGACTTGCTGAAGTGGAGAAAAGGCCGAATAAGTAAACTTGTATGTGCAGGTAAGAACAGCAAATTAATTTAATGTGTGAATCATGTTAAATTGTAGGTAACATAGAAAAGGAAATTTGAGATATCTTGAATTTTCATTCTGCAAATATAATTTGTAAAATTAGTATGAAAATATTTTGAATCCATGTATAGGATAAGCTACCTTAATAGTACCTGGCTCTGGCAGGGTGAAAGAGTAAAGAAAAATTTCCAAAGGTATATTTTAAAATATTTATGGAGTTTGTTCAGTACACTCAAGTTTGTTAATAGTGAAAACACATAATTTTGAAATTAAACAAAACTTGGATATTGTATGGGTAAAAAAAATAAAATCTGCAACACTAGAATCTAGAATCACTGATTTTATTCTGTTTAAGGTACATAGTTTTTTGAGTGTATAAATAAAATCAGATCTGCAATACTTAACAGTATCTTCTAGAAGGAATGTTTTAAATAGTACACAAAATATGGAAGAGAGTCAAATGAAGTTGGCTGAAGTTTCTTGTATTTAACTAATTTTAAATCCAGAATTCTATTTCTCTTTCCAACCTGCTAGATTCCTATCTGAAATTGTAAGATGCATTATTGTCCTTACAAAAATGTTGCTTATGTCAGCTATGCATGCAATAAATGTGTATTATATTCATGTAACCATGTTTGGACTGAAATGCTTTCTAATTGTTCTTTAACTGGATGTCTTCGATGCACATTCTCTATTGGCAATAAAAAAGCTAACTGCACTATCCTATATTGTACTCACTGCAAATAATTGTGTTAAACATTTGCCAAAGGTATTACTTTTAGGTTTGATGTAATATTTGTTCTGAATAAGCACTACTGAATACTAGCATACACTTGATGTCCTATAAATAAGAACTATTTGGTTTTAAATAGAATAGTATTTGTTTGAATTAAGCCTCCATTTTTGCTAAATCTCACGAGTGATATTTCAGCTTTTTTTTAAAAATAGATATTGCTGGTGTATCTGTACAACAGTGTGAACAGCGTTACCAAGATATGAGAAACCGTGGTCGCCAGAATGATAGATTTTTCAGTGCAGAATTTATAACTGCGGATAGCACCAAGGTATAGTTGTTTCATACTCTTTATTTTCTTTTTATTACTTTGAGATTTGTCATTCTTTCTGTAAAATGTGGAAAGTAGTCAGTATGACTGAAGCAAAATTTTAGAAAAAGATGTTAAACTCTTAGAAAAATAATTCATATTTTATAGACTGAATAATTAATCTAATTTTATTGGCAGGGGGAGTTAGGAATTAGTATTCCCTCTTTAAAACTGACAAAATTTGTAGTAATGAGACAAGTAAATTTATAATTTATGCCAAGTGAATGTTCACATTTTTATGTAACAATTTTTCTATATACTGTTATGTCTCAAATCTACATATGGGTTGCCCCAAATTGTTCTCTTCATTATTGTTTTTTCCCTGGGAAAAAACCGCCAAATATTTTTTTTTTAGAATTCAGTTCCCAATGATATAACAGATATTGATACAGTAGATACAAAAAGGTAATTTTAGTTAGGTTTTCAAAAAGCTTTGTAGTTAGGATGCTGGAATAATATACATTTATTTTTATTTCCCCTTTTTGTTAATTTCAGGAACTTCTGTGTAAAAAGTACAGGGATAGCAATATGTACTTTGACATTTGCAGCTGTCAGTTTGTGTATCATTATTCATTTGAGACCTATGAACAAGCGGATATGATGCTTAAAAATGCTTGTGAGCAACTTTCCCCTGGAGGATACTTCATTGGGACAACTCCAGATAGTTACGAACTTGTGTAAGTTGATGAGAATGAATTATGTGAGAACAAACAAAGGAAATACTTTTTAAGTCTGGTATTTTCAAATGTCGGGTTTTTTAGAATTGATTGGACAAAGTATTACTTCCATAATATTGATGAATATCATTATTAATATCTGCTCATATTATTCACCTTGAATGTTTCATTTGTTTGCCTGCCTGGCACATAATCGATCAATCCAGCTCTAGTCTGTGGATCTTGTGACTATAATCTAAAGTAAATGTACTAAATGTATAATATAAATAGCATGTAAATTAGAAATACTGTATGCCTGGTTTGATTCTGTATTTTATACTCCACAGGATTCCTAACACTTTAAAATTTTCATACCCCCCTCTTAAAGAAGCACTCTACCCTCTTAAGATAGAGAAAAGCATTTTCTGTTCATTACAATATCCAATTTTCACTGTTCCAAACAATGAATAACAAACCATGAGATAATAGATAATTGCAGTCATAGATGGAAAATGCAATTAATAAGTAGAACTGTGTGGAACTTTGGATTTGAAAGCAAGAATATGGCAATTGATCCTAGGAAGGCACAAGTTCTTTGGTTTAAGGAAAATACTATTTTTGCATGTCCTGAAGCATCGTTTTGCTTCTAATTTGAAACTTTCCACAGCCATTAGATTTTGATTACCCTCTGTTAATTAACTTATTCAGGATATCCAAAATCATGCAGCCATCACATTTCTGAGTGTGCCTGTTGAAAGGTCACTTCCCCCAACATGTTGGGGCAAATCAGATGCTCCTTATTGAAGTATCAAGGTTGTTACATTTTCCACAGCTGTCTCAACTATGCCATCAGTCTTAGTAGAAGTAATTTCAGCATGTACAAATATTCAAATAGTCTTCAAAAAGTCCTCTGAGCAGCTGCACCAAGTTTTTTGTAAGGCGTGTTGCTTCACTGCTTTAAAGGTACTTTGTTGTGTCCAATAGGATTTTTTTTGTCATTGTTTTATTTGGCTTCTTAGTGTTCTTTGAATTGGTTATAACTTCTCTTAAGTTTAACCAAATGTTTAATTATCTTTTTTTAATGTTTTGCCATAGAAAACGCCTTGAAGCTTCAGAAACAAATTCATTTGGGAATGAAATATATAATGTAAAGTTTCAGAAAAAGGGAGAGTATCCTTTGTTTGGTTGCAAATATGACTTCCACTTGGAAGGAGTGGTTGATGTTCCAGAATTCCTGGTTTATTTTCCATTGCTGGAAGAGTAAGTTCTTACCTAATCTTATTTTTTGCATGTTAATTTAGTTTTATTTCTTTTCACCCTTTTTGCTTTATATTTTAAATATTGTCAGCTACTTTGAGTAATTGACATAGAAAAGTAGGTTATAAAAATACTGTGTTTTATTTAAATGTTTGTCAGAGTTGTGGTTTATGGTTTATGGTTTATTAAACTTGTATGCCACCCTATTCCCCGGGGGGACTCAGGGCGGCTAACAAACTCATAGGGGAAGGGGTAATACAAAAAACAAACAAGACAAAACAATTACANGATAGATAGGTAAAAATGCCAAATCCAGTCTAAACATCTGGTTGACTGTGTGAAAAAGCATGATAATAATATTAAGTAATAGAAAATTAAGAAGCTAAAATGCTCTGGGACTTTAGAATTCAGATAGACAAGCCCCTGCCACAAAACAGTTTAGACTTCATGATTGTTGATAATAAAGGCAAAGTGTGGAAAGTGGCCATTGCACTCCATTATCTGGAGATAAAATGGAAAATAAAGATCTTGAGACAAAATCACACAATACAAAGACCTCCGAATGGAAGTAGAACAACTATGGCAAAAGAAAACAATTGCACCAATTGTAATAAGCACTTTGGGTGGAATTCCAAAATATCTGAAGCATCACTTAAACACCACTGGCATTGACAAAATCACCATCAATCAGTTGCAGAAGGCATCTTTACTTGGAACAATTTACATCCTGTGATGATACCTTTAACACCACAAAACAACATCTGCTTATCCCCGATCCAGAGAACGATCTTAATAGGTCATGGGTGTCAAACTGGCGGCCTGCAGGCCGGATGCGTCATGCTCAGGCCACATCCTTTTCAGTTCTGCGAATGGGAAAAACATTGGAACATCATGTGACAGCAATGTGACGCCAAGAGTTTGACACCTGTGCAATAGGTAGACAAATATGCCAAATCCAGCTAACTCTGTGACCCATGCTATTAACAAAAACACCAGTCCATTGTAAAAGGCAGTTTTATTTAGAACAGTTTACATTTGTGTCAATACTTTTAATATCAACATCATCAGCCTATCCCAGGTGCTTGGGAGGTACTTAATAGGTGGACAAAAATGGCAAATCACATCCAAACATTTGGCTGATTGCAACCAATAATAATAATAGCTGTTTTTAATAATTTCTTGGAGCTTGGTAAAGTAAGATCATATTTCAAAGGGCAAAGAATGCAATAACATTGTCCACACCACAAAAACAATATTTGTATCCTCTATCCATCTAATTTCACAGAATGGGAAAGCTTATCTTCAGATGGGTTGAAATTGAAACCTGGCAGAAAGTTTTTAGATATTTTAAAAGTACGAGATCTTTTTATTAATTCAATGTTCAGCTTCTAACTGCTTAGGGTCAAAGAAAATGCTTCAGTATTAATAGTATTATAATATTGTAGAATTCGGTTTAGCTTTCTGAAATATAGGAAAACTTCAGAGAAAAATTACCTTGTAAATTTCTTTCTCTTTCCTTTTAGGGAACAATGAGTAAACTTGAATGGGAAGCAACAAGTATGTATTGCAAGCAGTGTTTAAAAATTCCTGAAATAGTTATCAAATTTCTGTCAAATATGCATATGTTTGCTTAGTAGTATTTTTGCATTTCTCTTGCTATTGTGCTATTATAAATTTCTTGAGTGGAAATATTTCATAAATCTACAAAGTGAATATGTGCATAAAACGACTGGTTATTCATCATAGTTTGTCCAATTTCATCAGTAGATGCTGAGATTAAATTCAGTCATTTAACTTTGCATAGCATTCAAGAACATGGAAATGAAAATCACTTCCACATTGTTAAGAAAACATTGTGGGTGTATCCATGCAGTCAGTCAGTGTTGAGTGTTTCTGGAAGAAATGTTTACCTTTCAAATTTATAATCAGTAATTTATATATTGTAAATAGGCATTAACATTTCAATACAATTTATGTTTGTCTGTAGGTCTCTGCCTGCCTGCCTGCCTGCCTGCCTGCCTGCCTGCCTGCCTGCCTGCCTGCCTGCCTGCCTGCCTGCCTATCTATCTATCTATCTATCTATCNGCTTTGCGGAAAGCCTGAAGGGTGGTGAGGGTCCGAATTTCCATGGGGAGATCGTTCCAGAGGGCTGGAGCAGCCAAATTGGCTTTGACTAGTTTAAGTTTTTCTGTGTAGTAACTTAAGCTTAAGTTTCCTTCAGGAATAAGAGAGCCAGAAGGGATATCTGAATTCGAATAGACAGACTTTTTGTGCACTGTTTGCAATTATATAGCCTTCCGGTTATATGTTCAATGACTGTACAAAGATAGATGATGCTGAAAAATGGACAAGATTGGGTCTAACATTCTCCTGCCCACATTTTATAGTGCCGTCTGGCCATTCACCTCCCTGCCACACTACCCATCCTTCCATCTGTAGTCCCATCCTGCAGCTATTACCTGTTACCTAAAATTTCTGACTTTTCCCTTGCCATGGTCATGTGAGGTCTTCACTCAACAATCTGCATCATTCTGGAATTATAATGGCAACAGGGATTACCATTGTTAAGTGATGCAGATCATGGTAGCCCTAGTTATAGAAGTACTATTTGAAAACTTAGTATTTTGAGAATTAATAATTTCATGATATGCTATTAAATTTACTTCGCAGCATGGCAAAGAAGTATAAAATGAAACTAGTCTACAAAAAAACCTTTTGGGAATTTTATGAAGAAAAAGTGAAGAACATGGAACATAAAATACTTCTGCAACAAATGAAGGCATTGGAGGTAACTGCTTGATATAGATATAAATATAAGTATGTATAATCTTAAATTGTTGGTCTGGTCAAGTGTTAGGTACTTTTCAAATCATGTATTGTCATTAGATTAAAAGGGAATTTTGTAATAGTTTCCATGTTTATTTACATGTGAATCAAGTCCATTGAAGGTCTTGACTTTTGCTATTGGCTACTCACTTCTGTAATAAATATTAAAACATGTTATTTAAAATCAAATTGATGATATGTGGATACAACAATGGGAGTAACCTGTAGTAAAATTGTTTTAAGTTGTTATTGATAACTATTGACTTTCCCCATTTGGATGTCATCAGCCAGGCTCATTGGAAATTATAAGAAATGCAGTTCAAACACATTTGGACGGCATCTGATTGCACAAGGTTAATCTGAGATATGGGCTAGTAAAAGTATAGTATCATGTCAAAGCTAAGTAGGTCTTATTCTGTAGAAATACAAACCACTTCTACCTCCTTTAATTCTGTAATGGGTGGAAGGAGGTATATAATTATAAATTGAAAGATATAGGTGTGGTGTACAACAAGTACATTTTGTTGTGGAGATTATTACCTGCTCATATAAATTTTAGTTTGCTGTCCATGGGTTATATTTGCATTAATTCTACCTAAGCTATTTTTCAGAAATACCCCGCTGATGAAGGTTCCAGATTGGTCTCCCAAATAAAAGAGGATTATGAGCATGCAGAAATGTTTAAGAAGGATGGAAAAGCAAAACTACCTTTTGTAAGTATTGGCAGAATTCTATTTCTCTGCCTGAAACATTAAGACTTAATGTCAACACGGCAATCAATATCTTGTCTTTCAACAAGTTCAGATAAGTTTGGTTGAAGTCTTGCAATTTAAGGTATTTTTCTTCTCTGTGTTAGATAGGCTTATGTCTCTATATTAGATTGCCTATAGCACATATTCTCTTGTCTTCTGGTGCCACTGTGAATGAAGAATGTTTTCTCAGTTGCTGACTTGATATACATTGTAAAATCAGTCTGCCTCATTGCCCAAATGTCAGGGAGAGTCCCCCCCTCTTAATTTCTGTAAAATGGTGAAACTATTCATATTTTATTATTGGTTTCTGTTTGCAGAAAGGACAAGAAAATACTGAAGCTTTTTGTGTGTATCATGTTGGTACACAATGTTAATGTTAGGTTTGCGTTTGTAGTAAATAGCTTTTAACAACAGTTATTATTTGAAACTTCTGAGCCTTAGAAGGAGAAAAAATATAGTGTAGTCACAGTTGTTTGTTTTCAGGTCTAATATTTATGTATAATCAGGGCTGTTCAAAATGAAACATCATCTTGTAGATACATTTATGAAAATTGTGAGTTTAATTTTTGTCTACCTGCTCAGAACCTAGTAATTTTAGAGAGTTCAGCTACTGTTTGAAAATAGAAGTAATGTAGAAATTAATTGACAAAATCCTTTGTGTCTTTATTCTTGAAAGTGTTTTTGCTCCAGATAACAAATAGTTATATTCAGGTAAATTGCTATCCTTGTTTGCTTGACTATGCTTTATTATTGTGGAACATTGCAGACAATATTTTTCTAAGAGAATAGAGGCAGTCATATTGATTGTTCAAAATTACAGTGATGATGAAAAAGTAACTGAATAACTAATCCTTACATTTATGACCTTCACAAGAATAAAGCATAAGAAAACTGAAGTAAGATAATAAATCCAGTTATGGTTTCCCTTAGTGACTGCTTCACTAAACAATTGGATTACTGTTCCCAATTGTATTTGCAATAATAAAGACTACTATTAGTAATATTAAGAAATTGGGAAATACTGTTATTTCCTAGGTTAAAAAAGTAACTTTTCTAATATTAATCAATTGTTCTAGGCAGATAGTTATATCCAAGTTATTGCTATCTTTGTTGCTATCATATATTAAAGGATACTGTTGCCACAGTATCCTTTAATATATGAGAAGAGTTGTAGAGAAGTTTTTGAATATTAATATTAAGGAAATAACCAGCAGTGGTTCAGTATTATGTACGTTGGATTGAGCAGTTGAATAGATGGATGGATGGATAGATAGATAGATAGATAGATAGATAGATAGATAGATAGAT